GGGGGGGGGGGGGGGGGGTCCCACGCAACAGCTCACTGGCTCAGAGCCCTTGTAAGGACCAATGACGGGTGCAGGAGAGTCACTTTCAAGAAAGGGGGTACTTTATGTGTCCAGGAGGACTGGCCACCGGGAAGGCCTGAGGATGGGGGGACCCTGTCCTCCGAGGGCGGACCCAGCAACAGAGGTGCAGCCCAGGCACAGGAAAGGGACAGCGTCTCCTGCAACAGTGCCCAACCTCTAGGGTCAGCTCGGGTCCAGACGTCAAGCCAGGAAAAGGAAAGGACCCTCCAGGTGGGTTTCCAAAGATCCCCAGGAGCTCGGCCCTCAGGTCAGATGCCAGAAGCATCAAAACACTCAAACCTCCCAAAACCCCACAGGAAAGGGGCCCAGGACGCCGGCCGCAGCGGCGTGGTCTCAGCTGCCCTGTTTCAAGCCAAGGCCAGGGCGACCGTTTCGGGCAGAGGGGCCGCTACCTGTGGGGTCCTCGTCTCCCTCCCCGTTGGGCTCCACTTCTCGAGTGATGGTGCTGATGATCCGAAGCTCGGGGAAAAGGGAGACGCCCTCCGAGCTTTCAAATTCGGAAGCTGCGCGAGCAAAATGGTGGATGCCGCTCAGGCTGATCTTGGGCTCCTCCGGCTGCAAAACCATCACGTAGCCATCGACCGGGGGGACCGAAGCGCAGGCAGCCTCATTAAGACACCTGCCAGCAGGGGAGGGGCGGAAGGTCAGGGCCTTGAGAGGCACGCGGGGGGGTGGCCCACAGGGATGCCACAGACACAGGACAGCGGCCAGGCCCAGGCGGTGTTTCCAAATGTCATCAGCAAACATTCGCACTTTCTGGTAACAGGGACGGCTCACCTCTCCTTACAGAGGGGCAGCCGGGTGGCCTTAAAAACCCCCCCACACATTTTCTTCTCAGGCGTCAGTGGGCACAGACGCGCTTACTCTTAAGAACCAGCACATACTTGAGGGAGCTGGTGAGTCTGAGCCTCCGGATCCCAGGCGTGGGGAACTGCCGGGAGTTCAGGTAGGCGACGTGCTGCATGGCCGCCTCCAGCTGCCCCACGTCCTCCGCCTCCAGGGTCAGCACTGACTGGCTGGGGCCGGCTTGGATCTGAAATCGTGCCGAGCGGAGAGAGGGGAGTAAGGCTCGGACTGCGAGAAGCTGAAACCAAGTGTTTTGCAGAGGACTGACTAGCCGGGGGTTGGTCTGAATGTGACCTGGAGAAGAAAACTCATGTCGTTTGGGTGACTTCTAAGGTGCAAACGTATGTGGTGAAAGAAATACACATTCGGCCTTCGTCCCTGGTTTCTGGCAAAGGCCTCCTAAAACCCTACGAACTTCCTGAGTGACAGGAGCGTCTTTTATTACTCACAGTCCCTTCCAACCACCCCGAGTTTAGTTAACGAGGTGACGCTCGGTGGGCCCCGGACAGTTTCAGGATGGGGGCTGGCTGCCAGAGGAACCGACTGTGTGACCAGAGTTGGAACTGGCAGCCCCACCCGAGCTACGGGGACAAGGCGAGCGGCTGGAGATGCAGCTGCTCACCAATGGTCAGTGGCTTAATCAGTCATGCCTGTGACGGGACCTCCATAAAACCCCGAACAGCAGGGACGGGGCGTCCAGATGGTGAAAAGGAGGTGCCAGGGGGGTGACCCTCCTGGACAGGGCGTGGCAGCTTCAGGCACCTGCCCCAGTTTCTTTTCCTGTGCCTCTCTTCCGTCTGGTTTCTCCTGAGTTGAAGGCTTTATAATAAACTGGTGAGAGTAAAGTACTGTCTGTTTTCTGGGCAGTTCTAGCAAAGTGTTGAACCTAAAAAAGGGGAAGGGTGTGAAGACTGTGGGAACCCCTGACGTCACAGCCAAGTCGAAGAGAAGTGCAGGTAACCCAAGGGCCAGACTCTTGCAACTGGCACCTGAAGTGGGGGCAGCCTGGGGGCACTGAGCCCTCAACCTGTACCGTCTGAACTTAAATCCTGGTAGTGTCAGAATTAAATTATTGGACACCTGGAGACCTGGTGTCCAGAGAGTTGGGGAATTGGCTGGTGTGAGAAAAAACCACACATTTTGTGTCAGAGGTGTTATGCATGAGAATAGCTCAGGATGGATCACAGATCAATCCTCTGCCGGCAACCCCCACCCCGTGGTTTAGAAGCCTGCGAACGCTGTGCAGGTGAACGCAGTGTTACCTTCACTCCTCTGCCACCGTCTTCAGGGACCTGAAGGTCTAGCCCCTCTTTGCAGGTGTACAGACAGTCAATCACCTTCTTGTCTGTGAGCTTCCCAGACCGGATCGTCAGGCCGGCCAGATCACCTCGGAAAAACTGGGTCATGTGCAGGTCACCACCTTTGGAACACGGGGAAAAGGCAGGCAGTTAGGGGTGCAGCCCGGAGCCTCCTGTTCCATTTCTCAGTGTTACCGGTGGTGGCAGCTCGATGGGTGGACATGCGTGTTAGTTCAGACCAAGTCCTGTTAGCCTTGCAATCTACATGGAAGCGCAATGAAGAAATTAACTCGCTTATGATCATGCATGTGGCCTGAAGAGGACTCGGGGCTCCCTCACCCGAAGCCTGGAAGCCGAGAGGTCCCATGAGTGTCCCCACACATCTGGCCACTCACTGGTAAGGGTGGCCTAGCCCACACTTGTCACCACGGTGCACAAGGGACACGTCCTACTAGCACCAGCCTCTTCTTGTCAGCCAGCTGGTTCACACCCCAGCTGCTCTTTCTGAGCGACTCAGGGATACACACAAACTCGGGGGTGAACCCACACAGCGTGACTAGAAAGAAAAGGGGTGCTTAAGATCCCGCCCTGCACTTAGGAGCCTCGGGTCGAGGCCTTCCCGGGGGCTGCGCTGAGTGCCCCCCACGCCCGTCTCCTACTACTGCGGGTAACCGGGAAGTGAGGGTGTCAGAAGGGAAACGAAAACCCAGAACTGGTCCCTGACAGACTAGCACAGGTGAAGCCACAGCCTGTTCTTACACTGACGGAGGAGAGGCCAATTTTCAGCAGCAGGTCTCATTCCTGATCGGGACACTAGACACCACTACAAACCACGGCTAGGGGCAGAGATTTCTAAGAAACATACATTTAAGATTTAGTGTCAGGTTAGAGTATCTAGAAACGAATCTGTTCCTGTCTCATGGTTCAACCACCTGAGAACCGGGAGGTACCCCCAAACCTGGCCTGTGAGATTTCGGCAGGGAGCCTCATGCAGGGGGGTCGGGGTGAAACTTGATGAGAAAAATAAAAATCCCATTAGTGCTCTGCATTAATGAGTCATGTGCTCCCTTTAACTGGGCTCAGAATGGGCAGAGAAGGGAAATCCCAGGAAGCAATGCGGGGGTGGGTGGGGTGGGTAACGCAAACAAAGCAGCAGCTCAGATGGTGTCTGAGACCAAAATGCAACTTGGGCATTTCATGCAAAATGTGCAATGAATCGATGTCTCGTATTTAAATGAAACAATAGTGAACCATAGGGGGAAAAATCCAGCAACCTGCCGAGGCCACAGGCACGGGGTCAGTTTCATTGTCATTTTCAACTCCTGAGTACTCTGCAGAGAGGCGAGACAGAGACAACAGAGAAGGACCACGAGGTTATTAGGCTCTTCACACTGGACCTTGAAAATTCGTTTTAAAAAGCTGCCAAAAACGCAGAAGAAAAATTCCCCTTGTGTGC